TTATTTATTTTGTAGCTAACCCTTTTTACCTTCTGTTCACCATAAAGAAGTATGTTTGGAGAAAGAATATTAAAACAATCTATCTTATCCATTAAAATATATATATTACATGTGTGTTAGGAGCACTGAAAAACTTAGTTTTGGTTGAATTGATGATATAAAAGAAGAATATGCATGATTACATACAATAGACTTTTGTGAAACGTGATCTTACTTTGACATTCCTCCAATCTGAAGATTTATCATTGAACAACTTAATCAAAAATAATAATAAAAAACATGTTCCAGAGTGGTTCATTGTAGATAAAGTATTTTGTGAATAATATTCAAACTAATGTTAATGTTCACTGATTGCTTTAAAGACCCAGAGTCATGCTATATTGGACCCATAGTCATTCTACAGGACTTAAGAAACTACAGATGATTTATCAGTATTCAGTTGCTTAACTCTTGAGTTTAAATTGAACAAAATGGTTGAAAGTATGTGATACCTTCTGATAGGGTATAAACATTTGTATTCTTTTTTTTTAAGTTTTGTTAGTTAAGCACTTAATATAACTCACGGATTATGAATCATATTCTGTATAAACTAAAAAGGAGACAGCTCAAAGTAGAATTGAGTAAATAAACATCTATACATTTAAAAACATTTTAGCAATTAATTATAATAAAAATAAAATATACTGTCAGGTAACTTGAAAAAATAACTTTTAGAATGTATTTTTCTTCTGTCAACTTTCATTTAACACTCCAGTCCAGTTGGTGGCAGTAATGCGCTTTCATAGTCGGTCAAGCAGCCGCCATTAAACTCCAGAGGAAGATTTGCACCCTCGCTAACGGGTGCTACTGCGAGACCCAACATGAACAAAAATGCCCATGAGTTGAGTAAATGGTGGGAAAAGTCCTATTTCATGGAGTTACCTTTTCAGTATCGTTTTGATATTAAGCAATGTTCCGGCGGAAAACAACAGATGAACCGCGGCGGTCCAACAAGGCCGAACTCACGGTAAGAAAACTTTTATGAATAGCGAGCACGTGCAGCGAGGCGAGTTGCTTTGTTTGTTTCTTAAAGCGGTCTGTCGTTTTTATATGCCGAAACAAGTGTAGGGAGAGATTTTGTATTGTATTTTTTATTACATGTGATGTTCTGAACTCTTAAAAATACTCTCATCTTTTATTTTTTCAGACCTGAAAAATGGCCAAGCCTCCACAGCCAGGCCTCAGACCACGGTGCCGAGGCGCTCTTACGGAGTCCACCAGGACGAAGAGAAATTCAGTAAGTTATGATTTCACATTTAGTGAATAGTGAACACTCGCATATTTGTAAGGAAAACTGAACTTCCCGTTATTTTATTTATTTTGTTATAACGCAGTACAGCAAGGCAGAGTGTGGAAAGCAGTAGAGATCGACAAAATGGCGGACGGAGGACGGATATGAGGACGACGTCATGAAGCCGGTATGCATTACAGTCACTGCGTTGATTCCCGACTGTATAATGGTTGGTTGAGAATAATTTTAACTTATTTACTTATGTATTTTTGAAAAAGCGATATATGTGCTACATTATTTTTTTAATTTTACATTTATTTCCACAGACTCCACGGAATGGGAGTCACATTTGTGTCAATCAGACTCTTCAGGAACGTCCTGATGTCCGTGATGAGGACAGAGATGCAACTGTGTGTGAGTATCTACTATTTTAGAATGTTGATGATATTTTATGCTTCAGTATTGTTTATGTACATATTGTAATTATGCTATGTATTGATAATGCTCAAAAATGTTTTCCAGCTGCATCCAGGACCTACTGCCAGTCATCTGGATGTTGGTCAAGAAAGAAGCAGGTAAGATCTAGAGATGTCACAACTCCTTGAATGATTAAAGTACTGTGATTTATTAAAATCCATCAAAGCAAATTATCTGCCTCAGTTTGTTGAACTATGTTTTACTATTTATTACCAACTGCTTTTAATTATTTTTTCTTCCAATTGTTTCCAAGTGTTTTCTCTTTTTCATTAAAGTTTTTATTTTTTGTAAGAATGTATTAATGTGTTTTTTTGTTTGTTTTAATGTCTTATGTGTGCATACTAAGCTGGAAGTTGCCAAACAATTTCACTGTAGTTTCATAATGACTAATAGATGTCTGTAGCTCATAATGATTGTCTGTTCTGTATTAACAGCTGATGGAGGAAGGCAGAGAGTACTGGCAGCAGAGGAGGTGGCATTCTGAGAGGATGGCAGCTATGAGGCGGTGTCAGGATAGACCCCAAGTTCCTCCATCCAGGAGCTCAGTGACATCAGGACTACAAGACAGGAAGAGACGTCAGGTCTATGCTACAGGAGAGATGTTGGGCCTGTCCTGAACGCAGCATAATGTTTGATCATGTTTGGACAAAAAAAACACTGCCAGATGGTCCAGAAATGGACAAGCATTTATATCTTATTTTGTGTGCAAACAGTAAGATAAAACACCAAAAGTCGTGGTAAGAGACTTGAAGCTAACCCTAAATACAGCATTTTGCGTCATAAGCGTTTGTATGTTGGATCATGCTCAGAAAGAAAGCCACCACCACACGGCCCAGAAGTAGACAAGCATTTTGTGCTGTAATCTTTTTTTTTTTAACTGAAAGATGTTTTTTTTTTAGTTGTAGATGTGTTTTTTTATTTTATACATGTGGTTTCTTTATTTGTAGATGTGTTTTTTTATTTTATACATGTGCTTTCTTTATTTGTAGATGTGTTTTATATGAATGTATGTACATATTTATTTTTCAACAAAAATTAAAAATATAAACTCATGCCTTGTGCTTGGTGTATTTTTATTTCTGGGTTTTTTTTTGTTTTGTTTTTTTTATAATTTTATTAGGGAGGGGCTTAACCAGGCTTGTAATTATAAAGGTCTAGTGTGTCCAATAGGGAGATATCTACCAACCAATCACATGTAAGTAATGAATTGTGATGTCATTGTTTTTTCACCCAATGACTGACAATTCACGTGGGTCTCCTGTTGC